AGTGCACTCTGTGAAGTAGTTGGCCACTCAGTTTCGCTTTCGCCTGGGCAGCTCCATCTCTTGCTATCGCGCCGCGACCAAACGCGCTGCTTGCGTTTTCGATTATCTGACTTTTCACGAACGTACAATACACTCATTCTCGAGCGATACAAAACAAAAACCAGGGCACTTTCCTTGCTTCCCGAAACACCGGATTTTATGAGTGCGTATGCGAACGTAGTAAGACGTGGCTTAGTCACCTCACCTTTGAGTTCAATTTCAATAATCCCGTCTAGTACCAGTGAAATAAAACTGAAATTTGGTCATTTGGAGCCTTACGCGTATTTCGTTTGCCAAATGTCCGCTTCTTGTTACTTCAGTGGGTGAAAAGCAAGCCACATCCTCACAGGAGTATCAAAGTTGAGCTCAGCGTTGACGCATGAACTTTTAAGGAAACGCAGTAAATTCGACCTCACTACTGCACCAAAGTTACTACGCTGTCTTCCTCGTGTCATCATATATCTCCCACTCAAATTTTATGCTAACAGAAGATTAAGTTTTCGCAAACGCTGAGATCGGCTAGCTACGACGGAGGCCCTAAAAGCGTCCCCTATTCGTCGCTAAGCCTTTTTGCACGAGCTTTTACTGACGCCCAAGATCTGTGCCTGAACGGTGTGTCTGAAACAGGGTTGGGCAGTATCGCGATACAAATGTATTGCGATAGTATTTCAGGAATACATTTCGTATCTGTATTTCTGTATCGCGACACCTTTTTTTCACCAGGATCTGTATTTCTGTTTCGAAATACATTTTGAATGTTCCTTTGTATCGCAATACAATCAGGGCGAAATGTATTTCGTTACATTTCTTGAGAAATGTAACCCCTAAAAAGAAAAGAAGAACCCGAACGCTTTTTTTTTACTTCTGAGGGCACCAGGGTCAAGGAGATGCTGGGGCATTGTTACCATGCTGACCAAGGTTCCTTCTCATTCTCCAAACTATTTTTCTATGCGTCCTCTAATCTTTTCTGAGAAGTGTTGCGCAGTCGGGAACTCAAACCAGGTGGCATGTCAGGAGTGGAGTCAGAGCATCTTGTGATGTAGGTCTTTAGGTAAGGGTTTCTTGAGTCATTGTTTGCGGGCATCCAAATCCCGCTGCTAACCGTATCTCTTGCTTTAGCGTACACAGTACACCCATCCGGCAAAGCTGAGTCATAGTTTGTTGCAGCACGAGCCTGGTGGTGGTTGACTTGAAATAATACAATAACTCGCGCAGTGAAGTTCAACAGATATTCAAATGCGTCTGCGGCTGTGCCCGTAATATTGCACGGCTCAAGGGTACGTCATCAGCCGACGTGAAAGTGACCCGCTGCTCTGGTGATCTGAAACCCAGGAAAGAGGTCAGACGTGGCCTCGCTGTGCGGACCCAGACTTCGTACACCTGCGACTCGTTTCGAGCGCGCTGTTTCTCGGAGAGCTCGAAACTCTGCCGGGAATATCAGGTCGCAATCCACGAGGTCTTTTTTTGGAGTATGCAAGGCGAAACTTGATGACTGCAATTCATGCGTCGGCGGCGGAGGGTCAGCAGGAAGGACCTTCACAATAGGGATGCCACCGTATCGTTTTTTTCAACCGTAACAGAAGATAAGACACGTGTTCCAGCATGCTTCAGGTGGTCCACCATTCTCGAAAACCCTGCACGATCTTCAACGAGGTAACCTACAACGAAGGTATGTATTGTCCTTTTATACAGCAGCGTGTTAAACTTTCATGTTCAAGGCCACACCTACAGATAAAGAATACCAGTTCATTCCACCGTGACGTCATGCGATAAATGTTGACAGGGGCGTCCTTATTTGACAAGGGCGTGGTGACGTTTTGATGGGATTTAGGATGACAGAGAATTCATTTAGAGGTCGAAGTCTTTTTGCATCCCTCGTCAGAGAGACAGCATGTCAAGGAATGGACCACGGTCTGTCCTCGATGGAACGTTTTTCTGAGCCCATTGAAGACTCCTCGTCCTCCGAAATCACTACCTTCAAGGCAAAGTGCCAAGCCTACGGCACTTGTCATTTTCCACTGTTTACACCAGTTGGCTATTAGGTTAAGGTCAGCTTGTAGGGTTATGTTATCATTTAGGTTGAATACAGATCGGTAAATTACGCAGTCATCAGCAAAAAGTCGAATACAGAATGTTATGCGATCTGGTAGGTCATTTACAAATGTCAAAAAAGCAGAGGTCCGAGAACACTGCCCTGGGGGACTCCGGATGATACAGGAGAATAAGCTGACTGGTTGTTAATCACAGTATGCTGAGTACGATTGGTTAAAAATAGTCCTATCCATGATGTTACGAGTGAATGAATGTGAAGTTGATTTATATTGAGCATGAGTAAACTGTGGGATACCTTATCGAATGCTTTATAAAAATCAATGAATTTGGCGTCTGTTTGTATGTTGTTATCGATGTTACTGTGTATTTCATGAACAAGTTGTATAGGTTGCGTTTCGCAAGAATATGATTGTCCGAACCCGTGCTGGTTTGGAAAGAGGATGAGGTTATTTTTGAATGCTTCATGACATTTGAATATCTTATGTACTCAAGTAGCTTGCATGAGACACTGGTTAGAGATATAGGACGATAATTTTATAGGAGATATAGGACGATAATCTGTGTATGGGGACCACTCTGCCAATTTTCCACTCTGTAGGATGCTCGCCAGAAGACAAAGATTGTTGGAAGATAATTAACAGAAAACGAGCTGAGTGTAATTTAGTGTTTTTCAGTATTTTCGAATTGATTTTGTCGTCCCCAGAACACGACGACAACTGTAACCTTTCTATAGAGCTTATGATGCTTGCATACGTTATCTCAATGGCAGCCATGGGAGTGTGATATGCGTTGGTAAGATGAGGCATGCTGCTGTGGTCATCTGTGGTGAAGACTGAGTTGAAATAGTTGTTAAGACAGTTGGCGCTTTCTTCGTCCGATAATGGCAACCGATCATCGCTCATTAGTTGTACAAGTATAGACGTTTTTGTATTAATGACCTCCCAGAACTTTTAAGGTTTATTGCGAAGAATGTTTACTAAGTCATCGTTAAAGAATTTTGCCTTCGCCTCTGTAATAGATTTCTTATATATTTTAGCATATCATTGTACTGTTTCCAAGCGAGATCGGTAGTCAGTTGTTTGGCACGGCTAAATAGTCTTTTCTTATTTCTGCTAAGTTGGTTAAGCGTTTTTGTGAACCAGGGATTTGATTTGTCACAAGTTATGTTTATTGATGGGATATAAGTGTCGGCAAGGTGTGCAAGTTTATTTCTGAAGAAAATCCAGTTTTCATCGACTGTCCTGCTCATACAGCCATGCTGAAGACTATCGAAAAATATTTCAAGCTCATTGTTAATTGCGGAGTAATTAACTTTATTCTAGTCTTTAATGGTTTTAAAATATGGTGATTTCCGCTGAGTTTCAAATTCAATGCTGAAATGAATTACGTCATGGTCACTAATGGGTGGGTGGTATGTTATATTTTTAACAAGTTTAGTGTCAGTAGTGAGGCATAGATCTAAAATATGACTTGTTCTTTGGATTGATCTGGTAGGTTGAGTAATCATCTGCGATAGATTAAATGTAAAACGTGTCTATGAGTTCGCCTGAAATATGAGTCGAGAATGAAAGAGTATCCCAAATGATGTCAGGACAATTGAAGTCGCCTAAGAGAATGCATGATGTGTTTCGGGGTTGGTAGAAAATGAAAGAGAGCGCGTCATGAAGCTTATCAAAAAACCATTAACAAATTCGGGCTGTCTATAGCACACACCAAGGAAGATATACGCGGAGAGGGAATGCAGCCGTAGCCATACCATTTCAAGGCAAGTAGGAATTTGAACAAAAGAAACTACAATATGATTTCGTACAGCAATTAGGACTCCACTCCCACGTCGGAACGCCCTATCACACCTATAAATATTGTGATTAAAATTCGTGGGAAACACTTCAGGGTCTTTTATGTCAGGTGTTAGCCATGTTTCCGTTAGGAAAACAAAGTCTGCAGCACTAGAGTCAGTTAATAAATGAAGGTCTTCACGCTTTGGCAGTATACTTCTTATCTAAAGTACAGAAAATAACTTTGTTTTTAATCTGGGGGCACTGAGGTGACTCTCGATCACAAAGATGTTATGGATGCCTGTCTTCCACAACACTTGCTTTCAGGGTCATAAACAAGAAACTGCGTTCCAATGGAAAGTTTGCTCAATTTTAGTTTAAACGGTTTATTTTGGGGAATGGCAAACTGTAGGAGTTCTCGACGAGCTTCACGCACGGCAGGGAAAAAGCCTTCGCCTTCGGGAAACGTGGTACCCTTGAACTTGTAAGCTTTCCCTAGTATTAAGTCCTTTTGCTTTGTTGAGCAAAACTTTACAATGTTAAGGCGCTTTTTATTCGGGCCGAAACGACCGATGCTGTGGGCGCGTTCAATGATGCCAGGTTCTAATGGTAAACCAAGTTGCGCACAGCAGATATCGAGAACAAGCTTTTCTGAATCAGCCCATGTCACCCCCTCTTTGTCTGATAATACATAAAAAAGCAGGTTTGAGCGCCACTGTCTGTTCTCGCTATCCTCGCAACGCGTCCCCAGAACAGTCAACTCACGCCTGACGTTTGACAGTGCTTGAGTAGCTGCGGTGATTTCTTCTTTTACATCCGGTATAACAGTCTGGTGCGTCTCAAGGGCTGCCACCCTAGCTGATAATGATGCAACGATAGCGTCACTTTTGTTTAGGTCTTCCCGAAGTTGTCTCAGAGTGACAAGCACTTCAGCCTGACCTTTCTCGAGGCCTTGAACACTGGACACTACAAGATTTAGTTGCTTTTCTTGTTCTTTTGACATTGGTCCGGGATTTTCCTCGATGTCACCGGAAAGGAGTAGCTGTAGAGCTCTAATCTTCCGAGTTACAAAGCAATGGACAGAAACAATGAATGTGTACGCTTGGGTCGGGTACGACATCGCAACCAAAAATGGGTTATCGTCTTTGTAACATGCAAGGTGTGATGGACCAACCTGAAGCAGAGGGAACCGTAAAGCCAGCATTCCAATGGCGGTGTCGTGCCTCGAATGACGGTTTGGTGGAAGCCAGTCAAGCGGTCCCGCGCCTCTTATCGATGACCATGGTTGCACGCTCAAAAGCGAGTGGACCTCCGTACCTGGCAAAATGGTCGCCGCAAGAAGGCTGGCTGGTAGGTGCTCGTCTTGTTCATCGGTTCGGGCTCCGGAGTGTATCCCTCGATGGTAGTCGTCGTTCCTCGTAGTGTCCTCGGCTCCGTAGACAGCAAGGTGGTCTGGAACACCTGAAGTAGAGGGAACCGTAAGGCCCGCACTCCAATGGCAGTGTCGTGACTCGAATGACGGTTCGAATACCTGATGGTATTCGAATGAATACCATCAGGGAAAATCCTGCTGGTTCATCAGGCTGATAGTCTGACCTCTTTTGGGACATTGCCGGTCTGATGGCCTGATGGTGTGATGGCTTGATGGCCTGGTGGTGTGATGGTTTGATGGCTCGAAGGTGTGATGGTTTGATGGTCTGTCGTATTTTGAGACATTGATGGTTTCATGGTGTGATGGTTTGATGGTCTGTTGGTCGGTATGAATTTGTAATCACACCTATTGGCCGAAAGAAGACAAAGATTCCATTCCAGTCATTTGTGAACACTATTCTGTGCCCACTATTTTGTTAAAAAGGAACATCCGAAGACTTAGGGCACCCTCCGAAATCCCCATAAAACCTGAAAGCAAAGTTTGTATTCAGAATATGGGATGTTATTATTTCTATTTGATAATAATTGAACGTTGAATTTTTAAATCGCAAAAACAAAATGAAAAAAAAAATGCGTTTAATCCCTTCAGTACTTTCGAGACTAAACGACGCGCAGCAACTTCATCGGTGTCCGTTGCGTGGCTATCTACACTATGTCCCCATCATTCATGCTGGGCATAACGGCGTCGTGCGATAGCGTGCAATATCCTAAGCCTCGTCGGTTTGAGAATGCAGTAAGCCTCATATTACCGCATTCGCAGCTTTGTAAACGCTTTTGTTTTTTTGCTTTTTTTCACGCAAACACTTAGTTCACAGTACACGTTCATCTAGTAAATAAATTTCCTATCCAGCAAAGTGCGTTTTTCGGCACAATCTCTGCCACTTAGATCGTAAACATGATCTACTTGACATACAAAGCGGTTCAACAAATTGTTTCACCAACGCACAATGAAACAATTTCAAACAAAACTATATGGATGCAAAGACGTACCTGAGTTTATAAGAAGGCGTCTTCGTTACCTTTCGAGTATCCTACGACAATTGTTGATGCGGATTATTCCGGATTCAACGCGCTGTTATCAAACAACGCAGCTGATGGCTTTACACACCGTATGTAATTTTCGCATGCGCAACGACGTGAAATCATTGACGTCTATTTTCGGCCACTGCTGGAACCTCCTGAATATAGACAGGTTATTTCCACCACCGAAAGATGTCATGAGACGCACCATCAGCCTTTTTTCGTTTTGGTGGTCTATCGAGATATCCTGATGGTCTCACCGGGCAACATCAAACTCTTTCGATGGTCCGTCAGTCAGGGGCGGATCCAGACCTCCATTTTAGGGGGGGGCGGCTCCTCGGTGTAAAACAGCGGGGGGGGAGGGGGGGGGGAGTGTTTATATTTTTTTGTAGAGTTATCGTTTTTACTAAACTCTGATAACGTAATATAGATCTTGAGAGCTTTTGTATCGGTTTACCTGTCGGGGATGAACTTTTTGAATTAAAACCTTTCGGGTGACCACACTAGAGGTAAGTATCTAGAAAATTGTGGTGGCACTATACTTTCTGAACACCATAACGCAAGGAATTTTGTAGTTCATAGAAAACGGGATTACTCCATTCGCGTGGCAGCGTGCTAGAAATGGAACAAGAAGTTTAACTACTGGGGATGAACGTTTGGTGCTATAGCGGCTGTGACAATTGCAGACAGTGTAACTTGATGGCTCAGATATCCCCAGCGGGGCTACAACTTTCGGGCTTCTTTTGCTTGAATATTTATATATTCTCATTACACCCGCAGAGCATGTACGGAGAGCCAACCTTTGCCAACTATACGGAGGAAGCTCATGCAGCTAATGACATTCCGAAAAACTTTTAATCTAAAACTCGGCTGTTCTTTGAGATTAAGCTTGGCATAGTAGTTAGAGCTTTATATTCAGTGCCAAAATGCCAGAACGTGGTTTTAAAACATACTTTTCATTGTCGCCGGTTGCTTTAATGGAGCGAGTACGTTGCAAACAAGCGACAAAAATGGCCCGGCGGCTTCGACGCTGCTCGCGGCGTCAAAACACTGTTGACGCAGCGAGCGAAACGAACGCTGCCAGGCAAGTTCGTTGGTTCTTCGCCGTATATTTGGAATGTCCAGAGCGCAGCACATGCGGCATTGCCAACCCAAACTCGTGTTTTCACGTGTTCTGGATGCAACTCGAGAGGACGAAAGCGAATAATTGTTGAATATTTTTGAAAGCATGTTGCAGTTCGGCAGCTCTAACTTTTAAACTTAGACAAGACCTTAAACCAGCAATGGATCCTTCCAAATAATATTCAATTGCACTTCGTCTGGATATTTTCTGTCTGAAAGGAACACTTACTTGTTTCTGGGTAGTTAGCTCATTCGTCAGGGTCGAGAGGACAGGTGCAGAGATATGATGGGGCATAGCGGTTGTCCGGTCGGCGAATCTCAACTGGGCTAAAGGCCTATCACGACTGCAGCATGGATGTTTGGGAGCCGGTGTTCACTCGAACGGGCACAGGCACTGTCTATTTAATTTTGAAAGAGCTCGTTTTCCTCAAGTCCCTAGGTAGGGAATTCGAAGCCGCAGTTGCAAACCAGCAAGCCCCGCCTCTGTTTTGTTCGACACACACATATTCGCTCCTGCAAAGCCGCGCGAAAGCTCTGCCGTCAATCCAGAGAAGTCGCGTTTAACTCGAAAAGTAAAGACGGCGTCAAGGGGAGACAAGGGGTAGTGGGCGCCTTTCCTAAAATATGTCCCGCCACCCTAAGTTGAAACGGCATTGTATGCAAATAAATGCCTACGGCGTCGGCTTGAGGACCCCGTGTAAACAGCCTCCAGCCTTTAGAGTGCTCGTACCGTTTATCTTCCTTTTATTAGCTTCCCGCCACGAGAAGTCGTACCGCAGGCAGTATGAAGGACATTAGAGGAAACATCTCCCCCCTTCTGGCGCTCGTCGGCTTCTTTCTGTATTCCGCGCTGCGGCGCTGATCCTCAGTGAGGGATGGAGGCGAGGACGAAAGCGGGGAAGTTCGGAGCGTCTTCAGGAGAAGCTCAGACCCAGACTACACTGTACCCAGAGCATTTGCTTCCTCTCTCAGTTGAGAAGAAAAGCAATAGGTCACCTGGTAGTACAAGCCGCATCCCCCCCCCCCCCTGGAACGTCTCCTCCTAGTACGTCCCCTCCGCACTTCCCTTGGCAATGAGCACACCGTGCCAATAAGAAACCTTTAGTGAGCCCGTGGGCAACAGCATCTTAAAGCAAGCCAAAAAAAAAATGCCAAAAGACAAGCCCAGAACCGCGAAGAAACCATCAAACGAAAAGTGATGAAAAGGCGGCCGCTAGAGAGGAAGATCGTACCGTTGAGGAAGGCTGCTTGGCGCCTGCGTTTGGAAGCTTTCAGGTCAAAAATTTTTCGCAGACAACCTCCAAAGAGAGAGAGGGAGACAGAGAGAGGGAGAGAAAGGGACTAGATATGTTGAAGGTATTTTCCCCCCGTGCCCGACGTGGTGGCCTTGTTTGGAACCCTTAGCAAAAAGAGGCCGTACTTCAAACGTAGTTGAAATATATTTAGTACGAATATTCATTTTGTATTTATTCTGTATTATTTTGGCCGCATTCGAAATACGCCCGTAATGTATTCAAAATACATTATAAATATGAATCAAAAAATATTTTAGATATACCAAAAATATTATCCCTTCACACTCAAGATGCCATTTGCGCATTAAAAACCGGTTACACAATTTTTTTTTATTTTCGATTTTGTCAGCAAATGGTGTCCCTGTGGTATTTGAAGGCACTACTAGATACATCTCACAAAGGTACATTAGAAACGAACACAAACACAAACACCATGACGCACTGAATAGCCCATTCACAGTCCCGTTGACTGCTCTAGAGCCTTATATAGCCTACATATTGAAGGTAATCATTTTTTCGGTGACCACCTCTGCGCTTATTAAGGTTCCAAGTATTCGATCTGCATTGGCATTGGTACAACTAATAACAATTCGGCGCAGTCCTTAAAACAATATCCACACAAACGGCTCATAAAATACATGTTATTGCTTCTCTGCGTAGCACCACTCAGGACGAAGCGAATCAAGGCAGTATCTTCACATTAAAATACTGTGAACGACTTTATTTTCGTGAGGACCTAATTCTCGCAAAGTTCGCGAATCGCCTACAATTCCGAAAAATAGGTCCCGTGAACAATTCCGGCAAAATGCAAAAATATTAAAATCTATATTGCGATCCCAGCGCGTCGCGAAAATTAGAATTTGCGAATTATTCCAAAGCTCCAACTTTGACCTAAATCGCGAAATATTGAGCCCGCGAAAAATAAATATTTTACAGTAGTTGTTTTGCATTTCCATTTTAGTAGTTGACTATTTAATATGGTAGTTAATATCACTGTATTAAAGTCACTATTCACATCACGTGCAATGGTGAGTATACACGTTCAGTGAACTAACATTGTGCTAACAAAACCACTCCAAGCGTATCTGGTCACAGCACCTGCTGAAGCTTTCCAGCATCAGCAAATATTGTAGTTGTAGTCCCCGAACCCCGTTTGTGATTGGTGTGCAAGGAACTGATCAGGTGTGTCCTTGATAGAAAAAAGGAAACAATAACATAAACTGGGCTGATTTATCAGTGCGATGCTCCGCAATTCAGTTGACAAACTAATCAAATGTTGTATTTAGGCGCTTCAGTGTACTCCATATCTACTTGAAGTGAACTTCTAGAAGGGGAGCTTTTCAATATTTTGGTAGTTTAAGTCAAACTACCAAAGTATTGAAGTTAAAAGGTACTTCAAGTATAACACAACAGTATTTACGATTTTCAGGTATTTTAAGAGTATTCTGCACGTATTTTTGATTGCTCCATTTTTTTAGGGTT